CGCTGACTCGCTGGAACACTAAACACGCTACACATGAACGAGACAACACGGCGGGACACACGAGACGAAGCATGCTTTGTCAACATGACATGTTATGAATAAACACTCGGGTTCATCGGCACCGGCCCCGCGGATCGATGAGCCCGATCCACAATCTCAGTCAGCGAAATCCTCGTACGTTAGATTCAGGTCATTTTCATTGAAGCGGGTAGCATCTCTCTCTGTCAACGAATCGTCTTTTCATCAACTCGCACCCCTTTCCTCTCGCGCCGTCTGACCAACCGAGACAATTCCGCTCGGGCGAGGATCGATCAGAGACATCGGAAAGTACCTAATACCGAGAGAGTCAATGGTCAGATAAACGCAGTTTGGGGGCCGAGAGAGGATTTTTGAGCGGGAGCGCTTCCGGGACTCCGCTCCTGGATTCGAAAATGGAATTTCGGCGGGCAACTCGCTTTGTACAGCGGAAAGGGGACGGACACTGTTCCGGCATCGTACTGGGGAAGAATGAGCGCGCTCCGCGGCACCGCGACGCCATCGTTGATACGGGCAGGGCACAGGCATTAGCTGATGAAGATCGAGGATCACGTTCTCCTCCGCGCTCCCGCATCAAAGGGGACCACGACGTTACGTGGTCATCCAGGAATAAAGCAGCTGGTAAACCCTCTGCATAACATCTGCTCAGCAGGATCTTCGCTCCCCTTCGGACAACGGCTCTGCGTTGTCATAAATGTTCGTGCGGTCGAGGTTTTAGTCGGAGAACGAAGCGGCCCGGGACGTCGACGAGCCGTCGGACGAGAAGGAGCACGAGGGGAAAGATCCCCAACAGGTACAAGGCCACGATGTTTTTATCACTTGATCAAATCAAGGAGCTTTGCAACGAGCTTCGTTCCACACTGCAGTCGAGGCGTCGTGTTCTCGCCTTGAGTTCGACCTACTGAGCGTGGGAACATTTCAGTGGCAGCACAGTGGCCGTCGACTCGTATCGAGTTATTCAGTGTGATTCGACTCCCCGACTCGATTGTTCCGGCCGAGTTGGACATATACGTGCAAAGCGTAGATATTGAAATGTCTGCATCAGTCTGCTCGGCTGGTGGGCAGGCGTTCTTCGAGGTGGTGTCGGCTTCACAGGGCCGATGGATAATGGAACGACCGACCGACCGACAGCCCGACGAATGGCCAGCGATTCGAGCTTGCCGTTCGAGCGATGTGACCTCGTTTCCGGAAGACGTCATTTTTGAAATAGACGCCCATGCTCGATTCGTTTCTAGTCTACTTGATGATCGCATTGAATACAGGGATTGATTAAGCGAACGGATTATTGTGGACGCTCGACGAGTCGGGAAACCGATCGGCGAGCCACTGGCTGGATATCACTGGTGGTTTATCAAACGTCGAGGCGATTGGCGCTGATTGTGTAGGTGGATCTAAACTAGAGAGATCAGATATCGGCAGTCAGATCATTTCACAAATAGAACGATCATACGAATGATTGAACTTTTCGATCGGAAGACTAATGGCGCTCGAGGCAATGAGGTTGTTGTGGAATGCAATACATTTCATGTTTCACAAGCTTCGACCGGGATGTAGAAACTTCTGAAAGGAAACGCCCGCCTGAATGAAGTTCATGAAACGGTTCTTTGTCTCAACAAGATAGCTCGGGTCACTTCCACACGAGCTATTCATCGAGCGCCCGGACAACGCTCAACGTTGATTGTTGATTCCTCCACTTGCTGCCGTCGGTGACTAAACAGTCAAATCAGCAGGTCATTGAATTATACTGTGAATTTGTGATATTCAATCCGGGATAGGGACCCGGGGATGGGGTCCGTTCTTCAATGGGTTGTTCGGGGATCTTTTGTTGTTCATCTGCTGCTTTGATGTTTGCAGCCGATTCGAAAGGGGAATCAACACTGCTCTTCTCACGACTTGATGAATGATTGAGAATGATTGAATGGTGTCGAAACTGTCGACATGCAGCCCACAAGCCACAGACAGACAAGAAACCTGAAGTCTTGGGAAGCTAGCTATCATGCGTGCTTCGCTGCCTGTTTGGCGAAGTGAGTTCCGGTAGCAGTCTTATGATTGAATATTCATTCGACTCCAGACGTCAGCATCTACGAGCAGCGGCTTATCTAAGTAAGGCTGAATGCTGCTCGCCGCCGAGCAACAGCAGTCATCTTCGTTGTTGTGTTTATACCGAAAGCTAAGCGAGGACTTCTTTTAGGGCAGCTCTGAGTGAGTGAGCGAGTGGAACTCAGTCAGTCGGATGAGGGGGAAACGACGACGGGAGGGAATACCGAATCGAGCGAAGTGTATTTCAGGCCGTAAAATACTTTCTCGGTGGAACGAAATAAATTCCAAATTTCAAAACAATAGTTGCCGAATGAGGCCGGATAGTCATCGCACGGCGGGTGATTCGCGATTCGCGACTTCTACCCTGAGCTTTCAGCAGGAAGTGAAGCAGCGCTGAAAAAAAACGTCACCCCGTCATACTAGTGTAGTGAGCTCCACTGTCCCGGCTCTCGCGTCCGAAGAGGTTTCAAGTTTGTTTTTTTGAGAAGAATATTTTTCACCTGTCTGGGATGAATATTTTCTGTCCACTTTTCCGGTGACGCCATCAATTACTGTTCCGGAAGCCGCGTCGGTCGAGGCTCAGTGATCTCGGAATTCGATGAACAAACCAAATTAAGTGAAAGGAGTTGAGGAATGAGGAACAACGATTGATTCGTGCAGAACGAACTTGCTCGAGTAACGAGTTTCTTCCGTCCTGAGTGGGTTTCTGGCACCTTCGTAAATTTCTTGGCGGCCTTTTCGCATTTTATCATTCGTCTATTCACTTGCCCGTCTATCCATCCATCCGTCCATCCATCTGTCGGGTCGCAAGCGAATGAAGAGTGAGTGAATATTTGCTCTAATTACATGGTCGCGAGTCTTTTGAGCGGATTCAATGGCCGCGTCGCTTGAGCTTTGAGGTGTCTGGCCCGCCGCCGGTTGTCCGGCCGGGCGGCGACTCCCCGTAGCTGTAACAGTTACTGAGGGATGGATGGAGCGAGGGAATACAACAAGCTGGAATAATAGAGGCTTCGCACCATTTACGCAATAGTTTTAACGCGTTGCCAATCACGTTCGCGCGTGGTCACTGCGCCCGCCAAGGAGGCTATATAGCTGGTTGGCCGGTCGGTCGGTCGGCTTGTCTGCGCGAGTCGCTAGCTCGCCGGCCGGAACAAGTGGCCGCTAATTAATTGTCCGTTCAGACTGACGAGGGAGGATTCAGTCAAATCCGATACGGGCCGAATCCTTCTTGTTTTCGAGCCCTGGGAAAAACGGCGAGTGCCCGAACCAGCCGAGACAGATACTGTTCTCGATAATCATTCGAAAGCGATGCGGTGCATCGAACCGCGGTGGCTGTGTTTGTCCTAGCCACTATTCTTCTCTCCCGGGCCCGAGATGTAGAACTGGTGGTTTGCATACGCTTGGCGGCGCGGAGTGGGCGAGTCGATGACAGAGTTCCGCCGGCTACGACTGTACAATCGAAACGCGCTCGAAGTATTCGCCTCCCTCCGTCCGTCCGATGTGTGAGTGACCCACACCGAACAGAGAAGTACCTGACACAGTATCCTCTTATCGCTCTTTCAAAAATCTTCCGGTCGCTGGAAGAGAAACCGAGTCCCGTGAAAGTCTGTCCGTAGACAGCCTGGGTCGTGATCTCGTGCGATACGGAAACTCGACTGCGACCTCTATCGTCTCATAGATTCATCTCGATGAATGCTATTGTAGCTCACTCGTCGAACGCAAGCGCGCGAAACAGACAGCGGCCGCAGCAGTTTATACAAAGACTCTCGATATCGAGCAGCGGTATGACAGGAGGCTAGTCTGGGAATCCTAGGTCGTCGCCGCCGGCGCCGCCGACGAGCGGTTGAATGACCTCCGAGGACGCCAAGATTCGCAGTTCGTGAACGCAATTTTTGAACATCGTGTCGTTGCAAGTCGCGGCGGACATTCGCTTCGCTGCAGCGGCTTCTGTCGCCAGCGAATCTATGGAAGAGGGAAAGGTCTAACAGGCAGTTTCTGGAAAATCGGACTCTCCGTTTGAGTGATAGTCAGTAGTACGTAATAATTTATAAGTTGTACGATAGCTAAGCGCAGTTTCGCTGCGAAGAATATGAGAATGCTCTGTACTGGCGAGCGGGCGAAGGAGAGAGCGAGAAATGATGAGAGTGTGTGTGAACAGACGTTTCCGCGTAAGCTGGCAGATTTCCTGGGTCCGAAAGAGTGTTCCTGCTTCGAAAGGTGAATGCCTTCCTGCCTGGAACGCTATCCTGACCGAGCAGCGAGGACGAGACGTAACAAAGATCACGCTCCTAGATCCCGATCATTGCAGTGAGCTTAAGCATTGACTGAGTCATCAGTGGAGGGATCAATCTCTGAGCTCTGCGAACGACTTGATGCGACGTCGCAGAAGCGCGCTCGTCCGCTACGCCGAGACCGAACACGACTTTATGTTCATGCCCTAATTTGCCGACAGATCGAGCAGAGACGGGAAGGAAGCGGGTGGAAAAGCGCGCTCTGTCAGCTGTGGAGGGTGACACTACTATTCCAAAGAAACATTTGGAAATCCTCGAGCTTCTGCACAAGAATGTTCGTGAGCTAATCGATGCTCGGAAACTTCGGAATTCGCACCTCTCCTCAGCTGACCCCCGTTAAATTCCGTATCCGCACGCGCTGTCATCGCCCGGAAATTCGGTAGATGATACGCGAATTTTCCCGCTCCTCTCAGCCGGCTCGGAACAATCTCAGGTTCGATATGCGGCTCGATGACTAGCCGCTTGGAAGTAGGACCTATGCCAACGAATGACGAGGAAAATGCTCGCCTCATCCTCAGCCTTTCGAGTATCGAGAGGCGTGGAATCAGAGAGGATATTCCGGCGGCCTGATGCTTAATTGCATTTACATATGTATTAAGAACAATAATCGCACAAACAAGCTGCGCTGCTTCCTTATCGATATCTCGGGAGGGGTTTACGATCATTCCAAGCCCCGGCGTCGCAGTGAGTGGCCTTACACGTCGGGTTTCTGTTCCTTCGGTAATCGCTGCCATTTCGAGGCTCCTTGTATGTTTCATGCACTCCGTCCCTATGATCTCTCAGGAAGTTCTCGAAAACGTACGGTGCCGCGTCGTCGTCGTACACGTCGAGGCTCTCTTGGTGGGTGGCTATGTCTTCCAGAGAGGGCGAGTAGCCCATTTCGATAGATTGGACACAAGCAATAAATTCAGGAGATGAGTAACAGTAACAGTTCTGTTGTGTTCGTTTCTCTTGAAAGCTCATGCTCGGGAAGAGTCGATGCCGGCGTTCCTGAGCGCCGGCTGAAAGGTGTTCGTGGCCTCTAGCGGCGCTTCTCTCTCTGATTTTGTCGATTAGATTGAAGCTCCCTAGGTCCGCTTCATTTTCCAGCCACTGGAAATCCATACCGCGGAAGTACTCGTGTGTCTGGAAATGCGAGTAGTGTTCCGAGCACAGGCGATAGTGAGGATCGGGATTCATGCAATCAGCCACGAACTGCATCAGCTCTTTGGGCCACTCTTTTATTGCCGGCCACGTGTACCGCGGAATCACGGCTTGAGGTTGGACCTCTTCGATCGTGAATCCTCTGAATGGATAACGACCCGTAGCCACGTGATACGTCGTAACGCCAACGGCCCACCAATCCGTCGCGCGACCCAGTCCAGTTTTCATGAGAGCTTCCGGCGCCATGTACGGTATCGTGCCCGCGAAATCAGCGCCCGGGAACTCTTTTCCCGCTTTTTCCCTAAATGTTGGCATGAACTTCGGGCTGTATTTGCCACAACAAACTCTGCAGGTGTCGAAATCGATTAATTTGATTCGACATCTTGGCCCGATCATGATGTTGTCCGGTTTGACATCGCGATGGATGAAACCTTTGAAATGTAGATGCTGTACCCCCAGACCCAGCTGACCGATGATGATTCGGACGAGCTGCAAGGGTAGACCTTTGGGCGCCCTATGAATAAGTCGAATGAGCGACACCCCATCAATGAACTCCATACAGGTTATGAAAGCGTCCCGGTTCATGAACGACGCGTAATAGCTTACTAGACAAGGGTGACTTATCATGCACGCGACTTCCTTATCGACGAGAGCCTGTTCGGGACTGGGGAGGATGTTCAGAGGCACGAATTTCAGTACGCAAGGAATTTCGCCGAGCTTCGCTTTGTACACGACGCCGAAACCGCCGACCCCGATCATTCTGCCCAATGAGAAATCCCCGAGTCTCGCGATCCTCGGCTGATGAGCGTGTTCGATTATCTGGTCCTTGAAGAACGTCGACACCAGAAGCCAATTCGTCTCGGCGACGCTTTCGGAGACTTCATAATACTCGACCAGATCTGCACAGGCGAGGACGATTTCACTCAGTGCACGACTTAAGGTGTTCTGAGCCGCCTGATCCTTGGTTTGAACCGCTTCCCATAAATAGTAGAGGTTCTCAACGCCCTCTCGGAAGCGAAGCGCACTGAAAGTTCTCTTGTCCATTTTTTTCATGAAGTCGCTGACCAGGAGCTGCGCCTGCTCCCTTACGAACTGCTGTCTCGGATAGCGATTTATCGAGCTCGTTTTGTATTTATTCGAGAAAACGTCCAAGGTCGCACGAGTGTTCCTCCAACACTGGTTGAAATGTGCGCTCGATTGTCGATTACGCTGCCGCATCGTCTTTGGCTCGCTCCTAAGGAGTCGCAGCCACTGTCGAATTTCGTTGTTGCGATCATTCAGTTCGAGCGCTCTGTTTGCGGGCATCGTCCTTACTCAGACGGACAAGCCTACGAGGAAACAGGATACTCCACGTTCCATACCCAGCTGCTGGAATCGAGATCGTGATTCGAGATAGGATTGATCGATGGATTAATGACCGTAGAGGGAATCAATCCATCGATTGTACGCAATATGCAAGAGCTGTCCGATGGCGAGGGCACAAAAGGGAGAAACGTTGATTGAGTCGAATGGTTTGGAAGAGACTCCATTAGGTCAGGTAATAGATTACTCGATTGCGGGTGAAATCGATGCCCCATGAGCATTTCGGAGTGGGCAAGCTCCTCGCACGCGATGTTCGTACATGCGTGGCCAGAATATATAACTGCATGCTGGGGAGGGAGGGGGACAGGTTCCGAATGCTGAAGATGGTATGGCATTCGGGTCTGTCCTCTAGGCACTTCGCTTCCTTTTCCCACGAGGAGCTTCCTGATGACCGATCATGATGATGGTCTCTAATCGATCCTCGAGGGTCGATGAAAGCCGTAGCCGGTTGATGTCGACCTGACAGGCGACGCGACGCCTAGTTGCTGGACACAGTTCGAACTCAAGCTTGATGAAAAGATCGTAGGTCCCTTCGATCGATCATTCAACTCACGATAGCCCAAGTTCCTTGAGGATCGGAACGTCCTTTTGAGCTAGAACAACGCGGAGGGTGGGGGCCGTTCATCGGGGCATCTGACGGGAGTTCTACCACCGTATTCGCCCCGTTCGGTTGTTTTCGACGAGCCATTTCGCCACCGTGGTCGTCTGATCTGCCGGTCATACGTAATAAACATACTCATATTGAGGAAATATGATGATATTTCCCGACTCGAGTATCTGAGAACACGGTGACAATGGGTGCCTCATGTCGGCAAGGAGCATGCCGCCGATGCAGTGACTGCTCGTGATTGAATGCACTCCGCTCAGATAGCGATCAGGCTATAGTTCACAGTACTCGACCGTCTGTTGACCCGATCACGGCGGAAGAATACCAATTATGAAACTATATGTAGATGGACGGGGAACGGCGTCGAAAGCCTCTCGCTCTGTAACACATCATTTTCTGCAGACATGTGTGCGCGTGATTCAACAGCTTTCCTCTCTAGAAAAGCTCGACCGCCTCAGTGGGTTGGATCCACTAACATTGTTCTCGAAGCGGACCGCTTGCTCCAGACATTTCGAATCGTCGTGATTCATGAGTTGGATATCCATGGATATATACGACGGAGTCGAGGACCGATTCGCGAAGGACCAAAACTTCGAACAATTTGAACGGTTCTGCTTCGTTCGAATCCCAGGATGAAATTCATTCCTCTCCTCAGAGATCGACCGATATTCACTGACGAGACCCACCTCCTGATGCGTTATTCCTGCCGACCTGAAAATCAGACCAACTGGACGAGCTCCGGAACTGAAGACTAAGGGTTCGATTCGACGAGGATCCCTCGGGCGAAGTTCGGATGTGATTATTAGTCTCGTCTTTCCTCTCCGTATCCCCGACCAGCAATCGGCATCCTATCATGCGGTTGTTGAAGGGACACTCAGGGACCGGGAGTAGACAAAGTGTGAATAACTAGGCACGCATCGAAGCGCCGAAACGAACCAGCGCACACCTGCTCTCGCATGTATACCAGATCACGTGACGTTGCGGGAACCCTCAATCGGCATCGGCTGTCACGGAATGGTGAATGCATTCCTCTCGGTAACTTCCAGAGAACAGGGTTGTCACGCAGCGGGTTTTCGTAAGCGATCCCCATCCGCTCCTGGTGGAATGACATCAGAATCAGGGTACTGGGGGACAACCTACTACCTATGAAGATCAATCAGGCGGAAGCGATCAAAATCTTGCGGACATCTCGGAAAGTTTCAGAAGTTCGGGTGACGGATTTCTTCAGCATCCGAACTTTGCGGATTGCTTAGCTGTCACGAGGAGCCGACATGAATTTCCGTGAATTATCATGACACCATGCCGAGCATACTGTGACAGATCAAAGGAAAGGCTTCGACCGTCCTCGATCAACTGACGGAATGTATGGACTCCATGTGTCCAAGTTCGTGCGCAAGGCGGCTACGCACAAGTGAGCGAATATTCTCCAGTATTCTCGGGATCGTTTATGATGTAACGTAGACAGACCATCTGGATGCTCACAGTCTCAATGACAAATCGAGCATATGTTTCGAACAAATTTCTGGAGCCAGAGAAAAACTCACGGTCGAACAGATAAACGAACTGCCTCTCCTTCTGCTATCGCTGCATGCGCCATCGACGGTAACCGAAACAAGTGAAATGGCAGCACGTGCTCAGACAGCGTGCTTGAGGGAGCTCCTTCTTCGCGCTTTCATATTCGAACGATTGCTGCTATATTCGCCATCATTCGGCCCCTCGTTCTGAAAGCGATTAGAAGCTGCTTGCTGAAAATCTAACTGAGGACTGGTTTTCGAACGCGTCCGGAATGGCGGACAGAAATCGTGGTTTTCGACGTGACACGACTCGTCGACACTGACCCCCGTAAGAGCTCAATCATCTTGAATCTTCATCCCGTCGGACGAAGACTCATCGGATGGTACGCCATTCTGCTGCCGAATAACAATGACCTTTTCATCGATAAAGCGGAGCAGCTGCAAGACGAAAGCCTTCCTTATCGCTGGTTCAAAAACTTACCCTCAGCGCTCACTGAAAGCTTACCGTGTATTCCTCGTCGGAATACCTACCGTGCACAGGGAAATGTCCCGCGAAAAACGCTCGATGCGTGATGGAGCGTCTGAAGGTGATGTCTGGGAACGGCAGCCGTGCGGCTATCCTGTAAGCAAATCTCGACATCCCCACTGCGAATTCCTGTAGCATCTGGATGGAGGCTGATCACCTCTCAGTATCACTGGACCCTCTCCCGTTCCATCGCATCGCTGTCCAAAAAAGAAGTCATGCAAAGGAAGAAATATACATAGGAAAACAATGGTCCAGATCTTCATCAATATTTGAACATTTATTTCATTTCTTTAATATCGCTAAATTTTGTCAATGATATTCTTCAATAAAATGATGTAATCATGGACGATGATGATCTCGATCCGATCAGTACATTAGTTTCTCCTCCGTGTTGATAACGCTTTTCAACAGTTCTCCCGCTGCATTTCAGTATCTCCAGCGCTCAATAAATCATTTGTGTAATTTTCCTTCCTGTCGCTCCGTTCAATTTTTCACGTCCGTCTTCATCTCGCTCTTTGTCTCTCTGCTTCCTTTTTCTCTTTTCATATTTGTCATTGTTTGAATAACAAGAAACCAATCGAGAGTTTCATGTTAGCTTATAAATATGGTTCATATGGTGGTCACTCACTGCAAACTATTGCAGTTTGGGGGCGTCTGGTCGCGAAGCCAGACGAACACCAAATGCTTTAAAGAAATTTCATCTAGTTTTTAAAAATGGGGCTTTAGTATTGTTGGGGTTGTCTTGCTGACTCGCGTTGCATTCTGTTTTTTATTTCCACCGTGTACTCGTATGAAACGACTCGTTGGGACCGCACTTGCATCATCAATGGGAAGTTCGACCCCGTCGATGCAGATGCAGAGCTGACCTGCGTCGACGGAAAACTCGATTGGGGAACAAGTTCTTGAGAGCGACTGTTCCATCGGCGAAGGACACGGGTCTTGCTCGACTTCCTCTTCGGAAGTTATTGGCGCGAGGATGAGATCCAGAGGCTTCTCATCAGAAAACGAAAACGCGGTGAACGAGCAAAGGGCCGTTGGCGATCGGGATACAACGTATAATTCTTTTAATACTGCCATTGGCCCCCTACTCGCAGTTGCCTGCAGAAAGTCATTCGCATTTCTGGTTGCTGACATTGCTCTCAACCGCTTGGATGTCACCTCATTCGGAGCGTGACAGTGAGTTTCTCAACTTTCGAAAATATTGTTCATATAGCAACATTTACAGCACCCTCCCTCGTCGACGAGGGCCTCCTGCCGACGCTCCATGTAGTAAGTTCTCTTAAGTTTCGGATCGAGGCTTCGCCTCCGAAGTTTCAACCCTCCATCGCCTTCTATCTCTCCTTTCGCTTGCTCCTCCAGGAACCCACGGGATTTCATTCGATTCCGTGCAAATTATAGCGGAAAATAGGTTCGAAGATCATAGAACGAGAGACCTACAGATTCTCCATTGCGAACGTGCCGCCGGACGAGGGTAATACAGATTTCCGAAGGCGCAATCAGTCGCTTGCTGACCGGACGGAGTCGGATTCCCCGGCCAGCTCTCAGAGCTGTGACCCTGAACGACGCTGCTTCAAAGTCGCCTCCCAGTAGGTCGATTCCCCTGTTGTGTCCTTGGGCGTGACGTGGCGAAAGTCGGGAGGACTGGAGGATCTCCAATGCGAAACGAAAACCTTCGAAACGACAAAAGACCGAAGGGGAGACATTGAGAAGAAAAGCGCCTCGCGGAAAACGGTCGGAATCGATAAGGACCGAAGTACGGAACGATTTCGCCGAGCGTCTACGAGTCACCGCCAGATGGGAGCATCAGAAGTAGTAAGGTATTGGATAGTATTCGTAAAAGTAATTAGTAGTCGTTAGCTTCGGGAGTGGTCATCGGCAATCGATTCCTCATCGTCGCCATTGTCTCCAGAATTAAGCGCATGGATCAGTTCATTTTTTGAACGCACCATCTAGTTTGAAAGCATCGAGGGTATTCTCTTCTGCTACTTGAGCGAAGAGCACGTTGTATAGCGAGAATCCGCTGCGGCTACCGCTGCTGCTACAATTGATGGGGTGTCGCCGCCGCCAACGAACCTGTCGACGAAGTCGTTTCTAGAGTCGAAAAGCACGCATCTAAAAATAATACTTAAGCGAGCACTCTCCAGCCGCACGAGGCCAGAGGAAAGCTCATCGGGAGGAGATTGCGGAAAAGCTCCAAATATTCGTATTC